ACATTATTTCAGGTCTTTTTACATCAAATAGTGATGAGAATGCTCTATTTCAAAAGTTATGGCCATAATTATCTTTTCCTCAGTTCAGCACATTATGAATGTCAGTGTCATTCAAAGGCTGCAAGGATTTTAATTTCACATATTAAATTTAAGTATTGATATGTATTGTCTTTGATTGGAGAGATGAGAATTTTGCAATGAGGGGGATGCATATGGGACTTTTTAGATTCAATTTTATGGAACCTAAGCAAGAGTCTTTGATTATATCTTTTGAACTGTACATAGTGATTATGCTGCATTTGGAGAATGAAATAAGGCTTGGAAAAATTGAAAATAAAGGAGATAAATCATCCTTGCTAATTTTAATACATGGATTCTTGAGCTGTTAGAAACTTTATGAATAAAGACAGAGTTTATTATAAGAATGAGAATTTGGATTGTGGAGGTATATAAACTGGCTCTCCCATTTATTTGTGATGTGACTTGTTAATCATATGGCACATCATTTCTCAATTGTAAGGAAAGTTTAATGATAGTTTTTACCTCATAGTATGCCTGCAGAATGAATTGGGTGACACATGAGTACTTGGCCCATTGCCAATATATGGAAATACTACAGTTGCCCTATTCATTGCATGTCAAGCTCATTGAATGACAGCTGAAGAGTAGGTAAATTCATAGTAGTTTATCCTCGTTCAGTCCCCCAGAGCAAACAAGAAATTTTTAATAATTATTCCTGAAAAATGTGCAAAATGGTAAAATATGGTATGATGGTAAAAGGTTAGGCAGCTTAATTAAGAAGAGAGTCTAAATGTTCCTTCAGGTTTTTCTTTCTTTAATATATGCATACACTGAAGCTGTCTTTGTGCATATTGAAAGCAATCCTGTACTCGTTTTAAACTACATGGGTTTAACTACATTGGGTTGTCTACTTATAATTCTGTTTTCATGGTAATTTTACTGAGCTTTGATTTTTTTTTCTTTTTAATTCTACAATTCCACCTGAATTTTCCTTTCTTTTTCTTTAAAGGGTCTCTACTTTTTAAGATACTTTTGCTTCCTTGAAAATATATATTCATATCAAACATATCTAAAACATAATGAGTCAACTGCCCCTGGTTTATTTTACTCTTTTTCTTTAGCTTATGATATATTTTTCCATCTTCTCCAGGAAATCTTAATTTCTGGAAAAGAATTTAATTTATAGTTAGTGTCTAATTTCTCCTCACATTTTTATCATCGACTATTTGCTTTCTTGCAGTTGTAATTCCACAAGAATTCTTTTTTTTGCCAGAAGACATTTAGGATCTCTGAAATGGTTTAAGCAATGGAAAATTTTCATTTTCATCTTCCTATGAATCTGTGTTTCATTTTCCATAGTGGTTGTTTATCCCTAGACATTTTCTACATTTTGATTCCCATGAAATCATGCTTACATGGCTCTCTACATGCTCCTCTGATAATTCCATACTTTCATGAGGCTTATTTTTGTTTACTTCTTAAATACGGGTGCCACTCAGAGACCTTGTCCCTCAGATGTCTTTTGTGTACTCTTAGACTTACTTTAATGTGTTCAGCCCTGCATTTTAACTATCACTCGTGTGTTCCCAAAATTATTTTTGTATTTCCAGGCCAGAGTTTTACTTTGAATTTTAGTTCATGTTGTCACTTGTTTTCTTGATGACTTCTTTGGAAGGACTCACAAACGTCTCACACTGAATTTTTAAAATATGGCGTTTTTCGTTCTGTAACCCATCTACTATTTCTAGAATTAGTAGCTAACAAAATTTTTATCCACTTACTCTATCAAAAATAGAAATTTTTGCAAACTTGATTGATGTTTAAGATTTCTACATCTAGTAAATTTCCAACTGCTGCTAATTTTACTTGTTAAATACCTATCACATCCATATTTGGTTTATTTCTAATCTTTCTGTCCTGGTTCATTGTCTTGTTGTTTCTTATTGTACTACTGCAATAGATTTCTGTCAAAACTTCCCATTCACTATCATGCGTTTTAAATTCACACTCCACATATACATCAGTATATGTCACCTTCAATACTCACCTAAAAATTCACTACTCCCCTTGAAACTGCTCCACATTTTTTGCTTCTTCTGGTGTTAGTTTTCAAAATTAAAGAGTTGTAAATTATAAAAGCAAAATTTCACCAAGAAAGTTCATAATTTTATCTCTTAATGACATAGGAAAGTAATTCTTGACCAGTGTGATAAAAGTCAAACACAGATATCATCAGAGGAGCCTTGTCATCCTTATAGAACACTTATCTATGCTTTGTTGTTTGCTGATCTTTATCTGAGCTTTCTGAGTTGGGAATAACAGGCATATTTCATTTCAACTTATTGATGATATAAGTTAATAAAATGATAAAATGACATGCTTTTGAGATTTGTTTAATATGAAAATAGTACCACATGTTAAAAGGTACATGGTATGAGAATATATAAAAAGAGCAAAATATAATAAATAATGTGCAAAAGTAGATATAAAAATAATCCACTGACAATAGGACAATCAATTTTGATGGGAAAGTAAGGCTCATGGAAAATGACTATTCAAAGATGCTTACCAAATATTGAGGAAAGAACTTTCTAAGTAAAAAAGATACAACATAAAAAGATAATAAAAGGAAGGTCAAACCCATGATTTGGTGAATAACCAATTGTAGCAGTAGAAGAGGCAATATGAAAATGACACAGATGAACTTAGGGGACTAAAAGACTTAATTTTAGGCCAAAGAAGAAAGATTGGGATGTAGTTATGAAATGATGTACAAATGAATTTGAGCTTGACTTCTAGACATTAGAACCATAGTTTGAGTAAAAGTAAAGTAGCTGGACTATGACAACAGGTAAGAACTTATAGAGAATTGTCTGAAACTCTAAATTAGATGGAAATTATCAAATGTTGTCTTATGGTACAGACAGTGAGAGAAACAGGAGTTAAGAAGGACATAAGCTTTCATATTTTGCCAAAATATACATGTTATATCCCCAAATAAGGAATGAAGGGAACAGTGAAGGTACAAATGGTCTTGGTTTGGAGCATGATAAACTGAGGTGTCTGAAGGGTCTTGTGGATGAACAGTAATGATGAACTGAAAACAAGGAACGGGCTTGTTGTAGTATGCCAAATATATTTAGGCTGTTGTGTAACAGAACTCAGTTTGATGGAACTACTGTAACACAGCTCCTCGAGGTGGGCAATTTAAATATGTTTGTTTTCTCACTGTTTAAGATACTGTCTAAGTTGGTTCCTTGTAAGAGTTGAGAGAACCTTTCCTGAATTTTATTGCATAGATTCTGGTGTTTTGATTTTTGTTTTCTTTTGCCATCTTTGGTAATGCTTTACATGCAGATATCAGGATCCCAAGCTCAGACTTCAGGTTCACACTGGGCTCTCCCTCTGTGTGTGTCTGTCTCAAATGATCCCCTTTTCAGAAGATAATGCTCATATTGCATTGGAGATCAATATTACTCTGTTTAAACTCATTAGAACATTACCATTTATATTTGCAAAGCTCTATTTCCAAATAAGGCCACATTCTGTGTTACTGAAGGATAGGATTTAAATATGTAACTTTTTTAAAAAGAGGGACAGTTTAATTCATAATTGTCTTAGCAAGTTCTCCAAATGAGGGAGTCAAACAATAATAATTATTAGATTTTAAGCATGGGTCATATGAATTTTATGCTAAGTTTTACAATGTCTGGTTGGAACTTGGCAGACTTTCTGACAAGTTAGTTTTACATTAATGGTCTAAATGAGAAGAAAAATGTAAAATATGTTTGAAATGCAAACATGATTTTAAGAGCATTTGGTTGATGTTTAGTTTCATTATCATAAACTGGGCGTATGCTGGAGGAAATCAGGTTCTTTAACTCAGTTTTTTAAATAGGGAAGTAAGAATATACTTTGTCACAACATTATTTAGCGTATAAAGAATTGCAATTATGTTGCTAATCTTCATTAGTGTATTTAAAGATTGTCAACTATATAATCTTAACTTTCCCAACATTGCTTGACATATCTCAAGATAGTGTGTTATTACTGATTCAAATAAATGATCTAATAAAATTTTTCTTTTATCCTTCACATTTCTATAGTCTTTGTTGAACTGATTGCTTTAAATCTTTGTATGCTTCCTCTTCCTATCTTTCTGATAGTCTTTAGAAAGATATTCAGTTCATCTGTCCATAAAAATGCCTCTATCTATCTATATGTCCTCTCTTGTTCTCTGTTTTCTAGACAAATTGCCTACTCCTTCAGATTCTCTAAGTAAAAATTATATTTATATTTTATAGATGCTAATAATATTGATCACTTCCACTGATTGAGGTACTAACATTATCAGCATCCAGTGTGTGCTTACAACTTAAAACTTGACTGCAACTTTCAAAGACAAAATGAATTACAGTCCTGTATTTCTGATTCATATCATCAATCTTAATATTGACATTCTGGTCTGGATGGTACCACTTCATTGGCAGCTAATATGCATGTGGAGTTCCTACCTCAAGTATGTGTTGTTATTTTGTTGTAATTTAGATTGACAGTATTTAAAATAGCGTGTATATTTTGCCTAGGACATGATTTCTGAGTAATCATGTTGACCAGAAGCATTCTTTCCATTCTCTCAGCCTTAAACATACAAAATATAAGATATGGAAAGTATTTAAAGATTTTTAGTCCAGCCATCTCTGAATTTGGGGAAAAAACTAATGGTGGAATGTTAAGAGTTATCTCTTTTCTAAGAAAACATTATTTGTAAACACATACAATGCCAAAAATGATAAAATATTACTCTTTTTTGCTTATGAATGATCAGTGCTGGGTAATTAGATCAGTAGAATGTAGTCCAATAATCAACAGAAACCTTAAAGCAACTTAGAGTTCTTTTGAATCTTTAAAGAAAATCCAATAAGCACTTGAAAAACAAAATCAATAATTTTAAACGTTTTGTTTTTTATTTGCCACAGGGTCCAAGTTTTCTCTCTGAGGCAGCTTTTCCTCAACATGCAATAAAAATTGAAGAGATGGATCCTTTCTTCAGTCTTCATCAGTCCATTGCCACGGTAGGGGAGAAACACATTCATGAACTTGTGAATAGGATGGGAAGTTGGGTTTTGTTGTTTCTATTTGCTATTTTTCATGCTGCAGAAAAGAAAATAATCAAATGATATGTATATATTTGTATCTGTAACATATACTGGAATGGACTTTAGTAATCCTCTTATTTTTCTAAGGAGTATAAATAAGAAGTAAATAAGCAGAGTCTAGTAAATTTATTCAAGTTGATACAAATCCAGAACTGATAATAGCTTTAAAAAATCAATTCTCAGAAAATTAACTGCTTTTCCTTTTAATCTGAAAGTAGGTTTGTATTATATAGTTTATTTTTTTATTTTTAGAAATTTAATTTTAAAGAAAAGAACAGAAAAGAATAACAAAAACAAAGACAAAAAGAAAGCAATATACAACAATCAAATGAAACAATCTGAAAACAAGAATAGAGAAATAACAGTGGTTTTTATAGTACATATTGTTATCATCAAATTAGTTGCATGCAAGATTGATCAAGCAATTCAATATTAACTCTTCCTTTTGATAAACCGTAATTTTTTCCTTCTCCTTTATATTTTTATTTTAATTTATTTTAGTTTTTGTTTTCAGAATAAATGATTACATTCCCTGGGAGTTTTAGTACTTCTGCTTAACATATCTTAATTATCTTATGACTCCTCCGTCTCTTTTTCCCCTTTCATTTGCAAAAAATCTCCTACTTTGGATATCTCTTCTATTTTGGCCTTTATTTATACTTTATGATTCTCATATAAGAGAACTTGTGCAATATTGAAGCTCATAGGTCTGATTCATTTCAATAATATTACAAACTCAAGGTGAATCCATTTTGCTACAAAGGACTCAAATTTATCCTTCTTTGTAGCAGAGTAATACTCCACTTTGTAAAAATTCTACATTTTCTTCATTCATTAGTTGATAGATATGTAGCTGGCTTCAGCATTTAGCTTTTATAAGCTGTGTTGTTTATAAACATGGCTGTGCATGTATTTTTACTGTTACATAATGACTTTAATTCTTTCTGGAAGGCACCTGTAAGGGAGATACCTGGTCAAGTAGAAATAGTTCTCTTATTTAAGGAATCTGTATATTGATTTCCCTAGTGCTCACGACAGTTCATATTCTCACCAACAGTTTATTTTTATTTTTATTTATGTGTGTGTGTGTGTGTGTGTGTGTGTGTGTGTGTGTGGCCAGCTCAGCCCACCAGGGGGCAGGGCTGGCTGGCATGTGGTGCTGGGGGATCGAACCGCGGTCCCTTTGCTTTGCCAAGTTTGTTCCAAGTAGGTGCTTTAGACCACTGAGCCATCTCTCCAGCCCCTCACCAACAGTTTAGAAGGGTGCCTTTTCTTCCTCAGCCTCTCTAGCATTTGTTATTATTTCATTTCTTTATGATAGCCACTCTTTGCAGAGTAAGATGGAATCTCAGTGTATTCTCAGTTTTTGTTTGTCTGATGGTGTTTTGTGTCTGGATGTCCTGCTAAAATCTCATGTAATTTTAGATGGGACTTTTTCAGAGGTGGTTGAGTCTAGAGTTTGATTGATTCATGGTTCAGTGCTAGGATGAAGGGTGCAGGGATTAAAATAGGTGACTGTTGGATCAGTCCACTGATTAGATTGACACTGCCCTAATCCCCATAGTCTGTATTCAATATGAGGGACAGAAAGAGGTTTGTCTCCCTGCTTCCCATTGTTGCTTTTGCTATTTGCAGCTATGTGCTTTTGCCCCTCTGCTATGAACCACCCTGGCTTGGAGCCAGCCAAGTATGGAATAAAACCTCTGCAAACTGTAAACTAAATAAACATTTCCTCATTTCACTGTGGGTGTCAGGTATCTTGTGTCAGCAATGAGAGACAAGAAATTAAGACAAATGACCAGTGATGCTGAACATTTCTTCATATATTTACTGGTCAGTTTGTACTCTTTCTTTGGAATAACTATTCCTTTCAGGTACCCAGTTTTGAATTAGGTACCTAATATAGCTAAAATAAAATAACCTTCACACAGGTGAGATAGCATTAGCACAGAGGGTCTCAGCTCCCTCTGTGCTGCACCTGGTCACAGTCTGAATGTGAGTGGCCGGGAGGGTTCTCCCTGTGGAAAGTCACTTGCCTGCAGGAAGCAGTGAGGGCTGGGATCCCTCTGAATCTGCATCCTAGTTGTTAGTTGTGCTCGGTGTATTCCTGTTTTCTCTGGATCCAATTGCCCCCATTGATTCTAGGGAAAGGATATGTGGTATATTTTGCCTGATTCCTGGTTCTCCAATTCTCAGGGATTTCTTCTAGGGGCCCCACATTCTTCCACTTCCTCTCTGCCTGGTAGATATCATGGTCATTGCTTTGTCTTCCTTTCATAGGTTTTCCTTGCCTGGTTTATGTCCAGACCTCTGTCTTTAGTGTGGTTCACTGTCTGCCTGCAGGGGCCTGCCTCTCTCAGCACCAGCTGCAGCACCTTGGGCTGCTCCTAGGCTTGGCAGAGGGTCTGCTTTGTGACTACATGGTGTGGGCAAAGACCCTACACTATCTAGGCCTTTTTAATATTTGGTAAATCAACAGACGAGTTCTTGATCTGTCCTGGCTCTGCTGGATTGCCCTCTGACCTGGGCACCAGTTTCTGTATTTCCACTCACAATCCAACCTCTGCTGCCATCCACTTGCCACTCCCCATAGTTTTTTTAAGTCACAGTCTAGAATCACCCTGCCCTTTGCACCCTCAGTTGGGTGGTGCTGCCCTTGCCAGGCAGTCTGCTGGCAGCTGTGGGTAGTGGAGGACATGTGCAAGCACAGCAATCCTATTGTATCTGATGTGAGTGGGGCATTATTGCTATTCTGCATTGAGCAGACCTGCTCCTGCTGCACAGTTCTGCTGCTCACAGGGACTGTAGCACTTTGTTTTCAGGACAGGTGCCTAATGTTTTGCTTCACCCTGTTCTTTTGCCTTTGGCTTCTCTGAGTCCCCTCGTTGGGTGTGTTTCACTCTCTGTACCCTCTGAGGAGGTCAGAGTGGCTGTGAGTTTACTCCATCTGCCAGCCCAACGCTGAAGGGCCGGCTTCTTACCACAGTCCAGTCCTTTCCTAAGATGGCGCCAATGTCAGGCCCGGCGTGGAGCATAGGCTGTCATGATCCAGGAGTCCTCACCTTCCCTCCATACTCCACAGACAATATTTTAGTCCAGCTACATTTTCTTTCAGTTTTTCTCTTCTCTTAGATTGCATTTTTCACCTGTCTGATTCTTTTCAATGTCATTTTGGAGAAATTCACCCTTGTAATATTCCTAAGTAGTTATCTTAATTTTATTTTAAAGATAATACAGACAAGGACTTTAAACTTCTCTGTACAAGTCAAATGATTGTTTTGTTTCTGGTATTTTTAGTTGTAATATAAAGTATTCCATTTTAAAAGCAAGAAATTAGGTAGCTATATTTTCACTACTCTACTTTTCTAGAAAAGTAGAGTTTACTATATGAAGAAAACTACTTTTACTCTACTTTTTCTAGCCCTGAGTTTACTATATGAAGAAAACTAAGTTTTATAGCATAAAGGAATAAATTTAATGTACCTGATATTGCATGATATATGAATTTCTATATTTATCAATTATGTACATAGTCTGCCTTAATTGGCTTTTTGGGGATAGATATTGTAAATAATCCATATTTACATATTTATTTGAAAGATTTAATCATTTTTAAACCTTAGAAATATTGCACAAGGCCATCTTCTTTAAAATCAATGTGATAAAGCGAACAGAGCTCAACAAGTGGTGATAAAATGAGCTCAGAATGCAGACGCGAGCCTGTGTCTGTCGCTGACACTGAAGAGCTTTGTGAGTTTTCTTTTAAATATTTAAAATAAGAGGCCTTTATTTATGCTCTACTTAAAATTCTAACATCAAAATATTTAGATCTTAACTGCACACTTAACATGCCTTCCTTTTCCTTTCCATTTCTCCCAGTTCCTTGATTTAGGTTTTAGTATCTCTGTTCTTTTGAAATATGTCTGATACATAGATGGATTTCGTTAAATCATTGAATGGATGGTGGAACAAATCTGTTAAAAAATAAAACCCACGCCAGTGCAGAAGTGAGCTATGTGGAGATGTTTATGATGATGTACTTATGCAGTGTGAACTCTTTCTCCCGTTGTCCTATTTCCCTGCCCTCATTTTGCAGGTGTAGCCCAAAGGTAGACATTGTACTTCTTGTAGTGAGTTTTATTTCATCAATACTGACCCGAGAAACTAAACAAAAACAAAGAAGTATTTTGTTATATTTAGCTTCATTCTAATGTCAAAATCATTTTTTTTTAATCAACAAGAAAATGTAAGTCTGTGTTAAATACAGGGGGAAATTAAAGAAAGTAAATAATAAGGAAATACACAGCATGACTTCAGTTCTGCCTTCACTACCTGTTATATTTGGCCGAATTTTATTTTTATATGAAAAAATCGCATACTTAGAATGTCATGCCTCACTAAGAAATGCAATATCTATTTCTGTATAATTAAGTTATTAACATTAAATTTATAGGGCTAGAATATAAAAAAATAGGCCTTCATGTGCGCTTTCAGAATTTTTTACTTTAAGGCAAAATTATCTATTTATATAGATGTGTGCTATATATATCATAGATATGAAGACATCTAATGAGCCTGTTAAACACTGAGCACATACTAAATATACACAAATGGGTTATGAAATTTATTGGAAGAGTTAAGGTCTTAGATGTGGTCTGTGCACTTTTAATGCCAGTGCTTTTTGAGCCTCTGGTAGGAAGATGTTTAATCCCACCCTGGACAATTTAGAAATTTAGCATGACTCTGTCTCAGTTATAAACTTAAAGAAAAGAGAGATTGGGGTACAGTCAGTGTCAGGCCTCTTGCTTCAACCCACAGTACTGAAGAACAAAAAGAATTCATGTTCTTACATTATTTTGTTTCACTGAGGATTACAGGGGAGTTATCACAGCATACATGTTCATTACACCTCTGTT